TCATCCAACTCTTTTTCAGTGACAAATTTATAATCGTCGTAAATAATATCATAATTTAATTCCTCCAATTCTTCTGTTAGGTTGTCCAGGAAACTGCACCAGTAAGGAGCTGGTCCAAGGCTAGGAATATAGTATGTTTGCATTTTCGTATTTTCATTAGCCATTAAAAGCATTCCAGTATCTGGTATAATACACATATCATTGTAATCGTTTTGCGCTTCTATAGATGTATACAATTTACCCTGTGGAATATTATATATAGTCGGACATATTGCTTACTTGTTCCATACATTCTGCTGTATATGTTTTACTTACACTATCTTTTTCCCATATTTTTACAATAGAACTATCCATAGAATACACCATATCTAGGTTTTGATGGAACTCGATATTTTTTATGGGCAGTCCATACATATGATCTTTTATTAAAAATGGTTTACTCGAACGGATATCGTACAACAATACTTGTCCTGTGGATGTACCTACTCCAAGTGTTAAGCCTCCTTGAAATTTTAAACTAGTGATTGCAGGTACTGTTTCTAATCTATATAATAATAAAGTGATAGTTACATTTGAGAAAACTAAGGATTTATTGTAGAAAAGTATAACATCAACTTACTTATTGTCTTGTCCTAGACAATGTAAAGCACAATCCAAAGTGCCAACTTTATTTCTAGTTCGAGGATCCCATGCTTCTATTTTTCCCTCTTCTGTACCAACAACAAGAAGATGATGTAGTGGATTTATTTCACATTTATTTATGGATGGTGCCTCTGTTGAGAAAGACTGTAAAAACTGTCCTCTTTCAAGATTTATCCTGTAAATCTCATTACTGTAACACAAATGCAAGATAGTGGAAGTACTTAATCACTATTTACACTGTTGATTAAAAGTTAGAGTTAAAAAAATTTTATATCAAACCTGTCTCCCACAATAAAAAGATCACACAATGGATAATGATATTTCATGTCCCTTCCAAAACGAGGTACCCTAAGTCTGTAATATTTTCCATGAGCAACATGGAACTCAATGCTTCTGTCACAATGTAAAAATACAAGCTAAAAAGTAAAAGAATGATAGATAAACTCCATTGCATAAACACAGAATACATGAGAGAGAGAGATATTTATGTACCTTACTATAATCATCAGATAATATTTCAAAGGTAACAACTTCAGAATCAAAACATCTTTCAAATTTTAAAGATAAATTGTTCACATCGTAACATTTCACTCTTGGTTTGTATATACCTGTTGCTAAAATATATTCTCCATCTTTAGCAATTTTAATTGAAGTGCTAACTGCAGGCATGTCAAAGTCTTGGATAAGTTCAATTCGACGTCGTATATCTATCAAAATATACCATAATTAATACATACCATTTAAATATTATTCTACTTATTGTTAGTAATAGGTTGATTAGTTTGTCACTTACCGACATTTTTCTTTGATAAGTGACGTCTTTTGCGCTCTGACAACCACTGATAAGAATCGAAATTAGAAATTAGTGTAATTAAAATGATTGCAATTATATTGAAAAAGATGAATAGAAGAAGCAAATGTTTACCTCTGGAAGAGATTTTCCAGCGCTCAAGTTATAAATTTTTACATTGTTAGGACAAGATACTTGCATCTTGAGCAGGAAGGTATGAAAAAATATTAAAATCTATTGAAATCTATCGTACATGATGATTGAAATTCATTAAAAACCGAAATGGTAAGCACGTGTAAGAATACGTATGTATGTGTATACCGTAGCATTTAATACTAAAAGCATATACTCATTTGTACATATAAAGGGGTCGCCACAATACTCTTTGTCCTATAGAAGCATGAAAATTACTAGAAAATTCAATAAAAATTAATAAATTAGATAGGACGCCTTTCATTGTTATTTTTCTATTAAGCAGTAAGTAATGAATCGAAAAATTCGGTAACGGTATAGTTTCCAAGCAAAAGATTTAAATATAGTTTTAGAAAGGAACGGAAGATTAGGTTCTTTTAATCTATAGAGCAAAGTAGTCGAAGAGTAATACGGAAGAATTAGTTGAATCGAGGAGTTATTTTTAAACGAAGAAGAGAATAGAATGGACGCGATGAAAATTTGAAATGATTCGAAATTCGTAAAGAAAGAAAGAAGGGAAAAAGAAAGAGATGGAGCAATCGAATTTTTTGAATCGCATATCGAGAATTCTTGGAGATTTCAATATCTCGATTGGCGAATGTATAGGTTGGTAGAACTGTTCGGTAGTCAATTACCTGCCGGTTATCGAGAGTGGGGAGAACACGATCATCGGCTGCAGGGAGCATGCGAGGGGCAGAGAGGGGTTGCTACTAACCACGAAGAGACGAGGGGAGGGGTGAAAGAGAAGTGTGGCCGGCGTTGAGCGCATATAGGTAGTCGTGAGAGGAGTCAGTCGGTGACGGGTTGTGTCTTTAGTGGCGTGGTGAACAATTCAGTCGAGCAGCTTGTGTTAAAAAATGAGCTGGCAGGATTACGTTGACAAGCAGCTGGTCGCGTCTAAGTGTGTTAGCAAAGCTGCGATCGCGGGACACGATGGCAATCTTTGGGCAAAGTCTGAAGGCTTCGAAGTGAGTAATCGTATCTCATTCGACTAACGCCTCGGAAGCTTATTATTAGCTAGGCGACGGAAGAGGGAAAGTACGCGGTGAATATACCCGAAAGAAATTGAAAGAAACTTTAACCCATATCTCGGAAAGTCTTTTTCCGGCTAGCTTTTTATCACTGTTCGCTATTACGGTTAGGCAACGACTATTGAACATTGACTATTCTTCGTTTTCTTCACCGCGGATGTCTATACCTGTCGGTAATAGTATATAATGTATATATTTACCGATGATTGAATTCTTTGCGCGTTGGTTAAACATGCTCGAACACGAGTAGGGCTAGGAGGACGAGGATAATGACGGGGACGTGCTCCTCTCGGTATGGCCTTCTCGAAAATTGAGAGGAATTTGGTAAAGTAAGGTAGTAAATGGGGTCGGTTTTATAGGGACAAAATAATGCCACGTAGTCATCGGTACGTCTTGTTTTCTCCGAACAAGGAAATATAGAATATCGCCTGTATAATAAACGGGAAAAATCGTTGGAGTTCCGCGTGTTGACCCGGCATGGCTGTCCCCTCGTGTTACCGACGCCGGTTAGATCGAATAATATCCGAGATTAAGTTGTCGGATGCATTTGAAAGTGGTTGTTGTTCGGTCGACTGACCGATCCTTTGTTAGAAATCTTTTTGAAAAACTTTGTCAAAATGCGGTTAAATATGTCTGCAGTAGGAGAAGAGACCGGCCATCGTAGATTATCGCATAAATTGCCGAATCGATTGAATAAACTAACGATAGAACTGTTAATGAGATTTGTCTCTTTCGAAATTTTCCAAAAAATTCGCTTGACGCCGGTGAAACAAGTAGTTTGACAAGAGGTAGGGTGTGGCGATTTTGGACAGAGGAAATTTTGCCTGGTCGAACTTGAACGGTTTTCGACTAAGTTTAACATGGCTGCCTGCCGGGCACGTTGCCACTGCCGCCCATGGAAATGGTGGCTCCTAGTCTCAGTGGTGGATTCTATTGTACACGAAAGCCGGTTTATTCTTCAAATTGCTAATCATTCGCATTACACGATATTCGCCTCGAATCGAAGAAAAAAAGTTTATCACTATTGTTCGTTACGAGGGCATCAGTCATTTCTTCGAGAACTGTTCCCTGTTATCATCATCGAGAGACATATACGTAGAGACGCCTACGTGTATGTTCGATTTATCAATCTATTCGATCTTTTGGGCTAAATATTTTTGGAAATGCAGTAAAATGTGGAGAGTGAAAATAAAATAAGGATATTATATCATTTATGTAGCAATTTGAGATTCGGATATCGAATAATTTGAACCTTGGAATATGACTATTTCGGGCGAGTCAGTGTATTTCTCCAATCGAGTGTTCATTGTCCCAGGTTTTTTCTTCCGTCGGATATTTAAAGTAAATCGTTTAATACTGTAAAACGTTCGTAGGTTGGGAGGGGGTGGGTGGGGGAGCAGTTCCAGAAAAGTTGAGCTCGATCGGCGCGCCATCCGCGTTGCATTTAAAAAGCTCTTGCGAATCGTGTCGGTAAATTCTGAGGACCTGGAATTAGCGTGTACGTCAGTGAAAGAGGAAGGAGTGGAGAGGTGGCAGCTAGAAACATTGAGAAAGTCGAAACGGGCGGAGACATAGAACATAGGAGGGTTAAGGTTTTTTTATTTAGACGCCCACGTGAATTTCGCTTTGTTCAAAGTTTATCGTATAAGTATTATAGTAGAATCGTAGAATTTTATCCCAAAAATGTATTCTTTGTTTCCCATTGATTGATCGGTAGCAATGCCTAGTTTGATCGTACTTCTTTTTTTTTTTCTCTCTCTCTTTCCTTTTCCTCAGTTTTTCACTGACTGTATATCACGCTCGCGACATAGTCTCGAGATGTAGGCAAAATTTATAGATAAAGTTTCGAACGTGTACGTATATGTGTGTGTGCGTGTGCGTGTGTGCATCTGTACTGTCTCGTATGAACGACAACGATGGGCAAACTTCCGTCAAATGTAGACGAACGGAGGCAATGTTTCTGAGTAAGAACAACAATAACGCGAGAGAGAAGCGTGTTCTGTTACAAGGTGAAGCAGTTCTTTCTTGAATTCGAAGAAAGGTTTTTGTGCGGAGAGAGACGGTGAAATGTTGGTAGAGATAAAGGTCGCCAGCTGCACCGTGGCCTCGCGCGCGCACACATACTTTCCGGTTACGAATGCCAAAATGGCGATGCCGGCCGGGCAGCAACCTCCCACAGTGACGTACTCAGAATCGCGAATCGGGTGCTTTCGGGCCCCGTGAAATTGCCGGCAGGAAATTTCGTTTCTTTGTTCATTCCACATTGCTTTTCTTTCTTATCGTTTCTTTCACTCGAGCGGATTTTACGCGAAGATTGTTGTGTCAACGATTATATCGGAGAAATTGAACATAGGTAGTGGGTGAAAGAAAATGTATGAAAAGGGAAAGTAGGAGGAAAGGATAAAAATGAGGAAAAGAGAGGAAATATTGTTGTAGCCGTAGAACGTTGCGTATAATTTATGTGACGGGAAATGAGCATCGATCTGAAAGAGATCTGGATAGACTAGTTTTGATCTAAATCTAACGTAATACCTTTTCGGGTTATTTTTAAACGCGAAAGCGACACGAGGTCGACGACGTAGCGTCGCCGTCGAATCCTTTTTCGCAATTCACCGTGCGGGAATTGCGAAAGGTCTGGACGACGGTAGAGTGCACGCTATACGATTACGAATGACGCCCGATTCGATTTAACACGGGATAATTTAAGGTGACCTTGAACTATGATAACGGTGTCCGATTAGTGTTGTTAAACCGTGTCTCTCCCGCGATCGGTTTTTCTTCGTCGGTGGAGGATGGTTAAACGGTGGTGTGTCATACAGGTTATCTCGAATTTCCATTTCACGCGACACACTCGTTACACTCGAAGAAAATACGCGCATCACATGTGTGTGTGCATCGCGTACACACACGCATCGTACGTTCAAACGATCTTTTTCTCCGATAAGATGACGTGAAACGTAATCACAAATGATATAGAGTTTAGATGATAAACGCGTTACTAGTGGGGTTCGAGAAGAAAGCGGGATTAATCGATCATATAGATTCGATCGATATTTTTTCATCTTGGACGTGTGCAATATCATACGGTATACATGTGTGTGTCGTTTCAATGTTTCGTGATCGGGAGCGACGGGAAAAATTTCAAGTGGAATTTTATTTTGTATATCGCCTTAACCGAAGGTGTGTATCACTTGTGTGCTCAGGTAAGTAAAGAGGAGCTGGCGAAATTGGTCCAGGGCTTCGAAGATCAGGATATTCTGACGTCGTCGGGTGTCACCTTGGCCGGCAACAGGTACATTTACCTGTCAGGCACGGATCGAGTGATAAGGGCAAAGCTCGGCAAGGTCGGCGTCCACTGCATGAAGACGACGCAAGCGGTAGTTGTTTCTCTCTACGAAGACCCCATACAGCCACAGCAAGCCGCATCGGTCGTTGAAAAACTCGGGGACTACCTCGTGTCCTGCGGCTATTAGGTTGGTATGGACCGCCACACATCTATGCATGCTATTTCGTTTGAAATATGTTCTCTTTGGTTATAAAATCGAAAGAAAGAAAAACCGTTTTGGCGTTGTACGAAACGCGCGAGGAGTGCGCGCGCGCACAAGTGAGTCATTCTCGCATAATTTCAGTCGACCGCTTTGGCTCGATGTATCAGCTTGCCACGATGACTAATCACGTTACACTTGCGCGCGTCCCTCGTGTTCGACGAACGTGCGCTCGCGCGCGCTCAGAATCATGGACAAATATTTTTCTTTGGCAGAGTGTGTAGAGAGACGCGAGAGGACAGTATGCATGTCTCACGTTATCCTTTGTTCGAACGAAGAGACACGGGGTACAAAGATCGATCTAGCGCGAGACCACGACACATTCTGCGATCGAAAATTTCGAAAACAATACGTGTCGTAAAAACAAAAAAATATGCCTTCGTTCTAATCACCTTTCCTTTCCTTTCGTACCTCCTTATGTATGATGTATAAAGTTTTAACGGTGGTGTTTAAAATGGTATTAACGCGGGACGTGTCCTCCTTTTGTTTGTTTCAGTAACCTCTGGGACCCAACATAAATATCTAATATTAATATTAAACGATACGATCGATTATTTTAATGAACAGCGAATGGAATGCGTCATGCCGCACGAGTCGCGCGCCGGAACTGCCGCAAGCTTGCCGCGCGACGTTCGATGAAAAGCAACAACTACATCAGCAACAACACCAGCAACACAGCTATCATATTCCAGTCGTCGTTCTCTCCTCTTCGATTCGACTGGTCGACGTTCGGAGAATGAACCGCCTGCACGCCTAACCCTCGGGAAGTTGATACGCATTTAATTTGGTAATCGTAATTAAATTGTGCGAACACGGTATTTTTCGTTGTTCTTCCCACACCGCGACGTGTAGTAGCTCTTCTATACATATTGTATATCGAATTGGAGACAAAGTTCGAAAAAGCTTGAATGAGAACGATATATAAATTGGGAAACGCTTTTTTTTTACAATTGGATAATCGAAGGATAGAGGGCGAATCAACAAACGAATCATCCTTGTTTAGCGAACGTTCGTACGTCGTCGATTCGTCGATGGAGAGACAAAATACACAAGCATGCATTAAGTATAAGAAATAATGATAATAAATAATAGTAAACTATTGCGTGTTAGGTTTACAGTCTTTTTTGTAGAGAACGAATAGGATGCGAGAGAGGGAGAGAAAGGGATAGAGGACGGGAGAGAAAGATAGACAGATAGAAAGAGAGGGAGAGCGAGGGAGAGAGAGAAAGGGTGGGAGAGAGAGAGGAGTAGGTGTAGATACGTGGAGAGGTGTGTAGAGGTAAAAGGAAAGGTTGGTGAAAGTTTAAGGGAACGATGGGGGAAACTAAAGACGGAAAGGGCGTAAAAGAGAGAACGAGTGATGTGACCACCGAGTTGAAAAGAGAGCGCGTGAGTGAGAATAACGAGGGAAACGACGGGGGAGGTAGAATACGGAGAGAGTCAGAGAAAGAAAGAAAGATCAATTTCTGGTGGTTGAACGACGGGAAATGGGAAGAAGCGGCGGTGTCTGGAGGTGTGTAAGAGAGAACAACGCGGTTAGAAGGACGAATAACATCGATGACGAAGAAGAAATACGAGGAAAGTACGTTAACCGAGAGAGAACAGAGCTAACAGCCTACAGTGACGACACGAACGGTGACACAGTGATGACACACATACAAACAGTACTGATGATGACGGTATAGGCGAACATGCGGCAAAAGGGTGAAACACGGCGTTGGTATTGCTTGTAAGCCTGGTGGCCGCCTCCCTCCCCCTCCCCCCAAATCGATGCAGCCCTTTTTACTATTTACTCTCTTTAATATTGCTATGTGTAAGAAGAATAAAAGGAGAAAACGAAGGATGTGTCGCTTATTGATAAAAGGGAGAGAAATTGTGTGAGAGAGAGAGAGAGAGCAAGTGAGAGTGGAACGGGGGTGAGAAAGGGAACGAGAGTCGCAAGATGTACACCAAGATGGTATATATAAATATATATAAAAATATGACATGCGAGCGCGCGCGAGACATGCATTACAGAACACACAACACACACGATCGCGAAAGTTGAAAGACGGCACGAGTACACGGTACGGAAAGTTTGTGGGCTGAACTTTTTTTTTTTTTTCGAACAGCAGAGTTTCTTTTAACCAACGTAACCGATCGTCGAAAGCATCGTGTAACGCTTGCAAAAGAGTGGGAGTGAGAGAGAGAGAGCGTGGGGACCCATCGAAAAATTGGGTTCGTAAGGATTCGTTGAACCGTGTAAGCGTTTCTCGTTCGGCTAGCGCAGTCTCGTACGATTACACCGAGAGAGACACCCCATAGTCACATGCATATGCACGCATACACACATTACATACACAATGAGGGAGAGGGAGAGACAGGCGCACACGTTCACGCGTACATGCGGACAGAGCATATATACACACGCACACACCTAACACACGATACCGCTACCATTTATTATTACTGTAATATTACTGCTACTATTATTACTATAACTGGTTGCTTGTCGATTCGTCTGGCGTCAAGCAACAACCCAAACTACTATGTAACGATTTTTATTGATAACAAAACAAGGAATAAACATTGAAGTAATAATTGTAATAAAAGGTAACTCCCAGGCGTCGTTCAAATATTCGCATCCAGCTCATAATTTTTAGCTTTTCGTTTCTGTCCGAAGTGAAGGAATCTGATGAACGGTGTCGCGCTTCGTCGACCCTTTTCGTTTCGTAGAACGCATCGTTATCGCGCTTTCTTTGCCGACTCTGTCGTGCGATTAGGCGACTGACAGAGAGCGAGAGAAAGAAACATTTTTTGGCTTTTCAAATTGCGAACTACTACACGGGGAGAGGTGGTTGGACGTTTGACGGAAAGAAAAAGGGGATGGAGAGAAAGAGAGTGAGAGTGAGAGAGAGATTGGGTGGATGGACGAGGGTGTATGTGTTTCGTGCGCCCGCGCGTACGACTGTCTGATTGCGTGAGAGAGGGAGAAAAAGAGAGAGAGAGAGGGGATACAATTTTGGTCGGTTAAAATTAGATATAACTTTGTAAAGCCGATATACTTGCTCTTAAGATTTTTTTGCATATGTCGACAAAAATCTTCGGAACCGTAACACGATTAATGTTTAAGGAAACAATAAATTTGTATAAAGCGGTGTAACGAAGGATTTTGTTTTTCATTCATTCGAAATGCGCAAATGTAAGATGGAGGAATATCGTGGAACTCCTTGCTTTTTCACCGGATGCGACGGACGCGAGGTGATAATAAACGCCCGATAAAAAGTTCCTCCGACCACAGGTCTGCCTGATTAAACCACAAAAACTGATACGCGTTAAACTCCGGCTCCAAGTATTAACAGACTCACTTACCTGCACGTGGTATACATCCCTTTATATTTGAAAAAACGATGAAAATCTATCGGTGATCTACATAAGTAGAACAGAAAACAGGAGGAACATCCTCTGTACACACTCACACACACAGACGCGCGTGCACATACAAGATCGTTTCGTTTATTTTATAAACTTTCATTTAATTTATTGGTAGATTAGAACGTTAAATAAAACTTTTTACAAAATTATCAAGAAAATTCACATAAAAATCGCTCTTGTTTACTCGCATTAATTTCTTCTTAAAAAATGTTACCTCTAATTATCGCGATCGAGATCGCTACTTTTTTTTCTTTTTTTTTTTCTTTATTATATTTCCTATCGACCGATCAACGCCTTATAGCCTAGTTTTTTCCAGATCGTTCTCGAAATTCATTCGGGGATCGCTTCGAGTGACAGAGCGAACGATTCTAGCCGTCTTTCACTTCTTCCTCCTTTCTTTCTTTTTTTCTTTGCGACTAGAGATCGCCGACGCGCAAACCTCCGCGTGGAAAAAGCAATGGGCAGAAATAAACGAACGAGCGCGGTTATGCGCGACTGAACGTGAAACGTCGCATCGCCGAAAGAAGCGAATAATCGTTAGAAGAGATAATGCATACGTAGGGGGATGGTTGTATTGTGGGCGCTATTAATGATTTCGATATTAGAACCGAGGCGTCGAGCGCTTGATCCCTCCACTGACTCCCTTAATCGTTCTGTCTCATTAAATGTGTTTCTTCATTTTGTCACACTCTTAAGATTGCTCTACTTGTTGTTCTTCACGACGGCGAAACGATAAAGCTATCGAATTTGTACTAAAAATTTCCCCGTCACTGAGTCTCGGTTACACATTTCCGTGTACAGACACACTTCTCCCAGGAAGAAAGACTAGAAAAGATGCGCCCAACGAACCGGTCTTAACATCGCGTCGTTTGACTGGTGTGTGCGCGTTACGCATCTCAAAGTACATACATCGGTCGAGCGTAATTTCACAGTCGATCCTCTCTCGCCCCTTCTCGAACGGGAGAAAGGAGGAGAGAAAGAATGAGAGAGAAAGAGAGAGCGAGTGAGGGAGAAATAGGAACGGGGTTGAAAATAATGGCGAAGAAAGAAAATTGTATATGTAAATGGCGCAGGTAAAAAGGCCGCGTTGTAACCTCAAAAATGTCCGGTTGGCGGTCGAATAGATTGCATTAAAAACGTTGGTTTAATCGGCGCTAAGTTTAAGTAGCTTTTCATTAATCTTTATTAGATTAGCCTTTAATGTTAGAGTCTTATCAGGTAGTAGGTGTGCATGCGTGGCAACGGATGTGCGAGGAAGCGGCCACTGTGACCTCCGTTGTCTCTTTTCGGCTGGACACGTGACCGACGCATCCTCGAATGCCCATCATTCTCACAGTCCCAATGATTATCTATACGTATATCCTCCCCGTGCGTCCCTTCTCTCTCGCGTTCACGTTATTTACACGGAAATCACTATACACAGCGTGTAGGCAAGAGCGCGTGCGCGCGCGCGCGTGTATACGAAATAAACTATAGTACGAAACGGCGCGCAGGAAGAAAGCAATATCGTAACCTACTTTACGGACAAGCGGTACTTTTGCCACATGCTCTTTTCCGTTCTCTTCTTTTCCTCTTCCTCGAGATATTCTCCCAGTATGTATGTATATAACCTTCTTCTAATCGTGACCGCGCGTTCGCGAGCCGATTCTCCGTTAGACACGGCCGCCGTAGTGGAGAACGTGTGTGCTGAAAGGGAAATCGAATATCGGGTACTACGAGGTTCGCGAAAAATCGAGCTGAAATATCGCGCAATCGACGATGTAGAAAGCGCGAGGTTTTTCTTTCTTTCTTTCTTTCTTTCTGTTTTCTCTCCACTTTGCTTGTGGTCGGTAAAACGTAAAAAGGGGGAAAGGAGAGGAAGAGGGAGAGACTCGCGCGCGCGCAAAGATACAAAAGGTACGTTGTACGTACGCGTATTTATAATGGAAAGAACCGTGGTAGAACACGATTGAACCGTATATGATACGAACCAACAGCAAGAAACGATATTTGCATCTCTGTACCTCTATACACATTGGTCGAGCCGTCGACACTCTTTGGCATTCAAGAGACTTTCCGCAACGATCGACATTGTCAAGTAAATATATTACGAGACGGTTACGTGCCGCCGCGTTTTTTTACATCGACTTTGAAATATTACATTAATTAGAACCTTGTGGGTTTTTACGTTATTTATCGCCGCCACTTGTTATTCCCTCCCTCCTCTCTCTCTCTCTCTTTCTCTCCCTCTTTCTCCTCCTTTCTCATTTTCTATATATGTATATGTATATATATACACACGTTATTAATAATAATAATACCGGTTACCAATAATAGCAATTAATTCATTCGTTAATTCGTAATAATAGCGATTATCCTTTCGTAATAATAATTCATTATCGTGTGCACGTCACGGCGCACAATCGTTTTGGTAGCAGCATTAGAACATTTAACGATGATCGTAACAACTCTACGATAATAGTAATAAATAAAAATAATAATAATAATAATAATGAAAGAAAGAGTAAGAACATAAATAAGACTGGTGATGATGGCGGGTAATGATGATGATGATGATGATGATGATGACGATGATGGCAATAGTAGTAACAATATTAAATAAATAACGATGAGGATGACAACGATAATGCTAATGGGTGCGACAATAACAAACATAAGTGGCAAAGATAATGACGACGACGACGACGACGAGGACGTCGAGGACGAAAAATTAATCTGATAACACAATCGATTGATAAAATGATGGACTCCTCTTGTCATATAACTCCGCCGTCCAGAGTATGTACGTATTAAATAGTCGAGTACTCGCAGTACAGGATAGCTTATACTTTATTACTCGCTCTCACTCTTTCTCTCCCTCACACACACACGCACGCATTCACTCGCTCACTCACTCTCTCCCTCTCTTCCACCCTTTCTATAAACGTGTTCATCACGCGTGTGTCGGATACGCACAGAAGAAAGATGGAAAAGAAACTTTTACTCGGTTTTCAGCGCGTCTGATCGAAGATCGAGGAACCACCATGTGCGACCGATCTAACCTTCCACCCTCGAACGACACAGACAATTACGACTTAATCGGTGAGAATCTCTGCAAAGCAAAGGTTCCGTTCGATCGAATTTCATCGAGCATCGCATCGTGCCTTCGGGCAATAGCCGTGCCAAACAAGCTCGCGATAAATCATCGATACCTCTCGGATTCGATAAACGATCGAGAATCGCGCCGGTCGGTGTTGCGGTGAAAGAGAAAAAGAGGAGGAGGAGGAGTTTGTGTTTTTTTTCTTCTTCTTTTCTTTCCTTTCGTTAGTTCGCGCTCTGAAGATTGCTCGCGTCGCGAAACGTAAGAAAAAAGGGGGGCAGGGTACGAGATAACGAGAACGAAAATGAAAACGAAAGGGAGAAGTAAAGCGGTGAAACGAGAGAGGAGGAGGACCGGAAAACGCAAAAAATACCGAAAAAAGATTTTTACCCACGGGCTGTGACGCAGCTCTTGTTGGCTGGAGGCCGGAATAAAATGGACGCGAGGAACGAGGTCGCGAACGTGGTGGTAGCTGGTGATAATACTGGCACGAAGCTGGACCGAGGCTACTGGACGATGCAGCAGCAAGCACCGTGCGTCAGGGCGGTGTTTGCGACGCGTTCTTCCCTGGAATGGTGATGGTGGTGGTGGTGGTGGTGGTTTTGTGGCCGCGGCCCGGAGTGTCTCTGTCGTTGCTGGCCTGTTACCCTGCCGCCTAACCTGGGCTATTGGTTCTCCAGCGAGTAGTGACGCGACCTCTTCCAAAAACCCTTGAAGAACCCTTTCTTCTTAGGCGCGTCCCCGCATTCTGCCGCTGAAACAGAAAAATCCCACCTTCTCTTTCGTGGCCCACGCCAAAAAACACTTGCCTCTCTCTCTCTCTCTCTCTCTGCGAAACCACCCCTTTCTCCTCCCCATCACGCCTCGAATTGTCGCCTCGAATTGTCGCCTCGGTGCATATTGGAAATCCTCGTCGCGTATTTCAGCCACGTTTTTACTCTCGCTATATGTTAATAGGGGAAGCGTTGGCAATTGTCTGCCTGCT